CTGTCCCAGCTACACACTGGTCGACCACTTCTGCTATCTTCTTAGGAAAGACCTTGGTATTGGCTGCGGTGACAGTCTTATGGGCGGTGGCCTCTTCCTGGGCCGGAAGCAGGCTTAATAATGATGACCTTCCTGTTTGTGCCTGGACTTGAGTGGAAGGGAAAGAGCTGTAGGTGGGACCCTTTGATCCCGTGTTGCTTTTCCTGGAGCATTTGGTGACTAGGACACCTCTTAGTGGCCACAAAAGAACCCAGGATATATCTTTGCTGTCAGTGGGAGCTTAAACAGGAATGAAACTCCTCTGAGGCTGCACTCTGACAGAGATCCATCTGTTGTTTCACTGGGCACCAAGTATTCACTTGTCATATTTTCTAGTCTTAATAGCCTAAAGCTAGCTCCTCTTACTGTGCCCCTCAGAGTGGGCAAGGAAGCATTCCTGGGAGAAAGACTTTTTCTCTTTTATTACCTACTACCTTATGTCACACAGGGCTGCCTGCTCGGATAGGGGCAGGGAGGGCAGAGCCAAGCCAAATGATCACAACAGTCCTAGGAGGCGAAACATCACAGGCAGCTGGGAATGAGGTAGCCCAGTACCACTGCTGGGCTTCTTCACCAAGCCTTAATGCCTGTTTCTAGGGCTTTAAGACAACCTAAGTCTCAATCTTTTACTGCAGGACTGAGCAGATAAAATCGCTCATGGCCCCCTCTCAAACTCCCACCTCCTGGCAGTTCCAAGGCTGCAGCCACTCCCTTCTCAGTGACTCCCCTCTCCTGAGGTCAGAGATGCTACAAGTGAGCTGTACACACCAGGAGAGGTGGGGCTTCTAAGATCTGGCTGCAGAACCTCCTGTGAGAATAATGTCTGGTGTTTTCTACAAATTAATTTTCTACATTCCATCTTTTAATCTTTTCTCAGGTCATGCCTTATATAACTGTATAATTTTATTATAAAAATTTCTCTGAAAGTTCTCATGGGTGTTTTGTGGTTTGGACAAGAGTAGACAGGACTGGCCTTCATCTTGTAGCCATTGAGGGAGTCAAAGGAGGAGCTGAGTACAGGACCTGGGAGAATGGGGAGAAAAAGTAGGGGTATCCTGTCTTATGACTGAGAAAATGACTACAGTCTTAGGAAGCTAGTGGATAATTTAGCAGAGATGGGCTGGAACTGGAGAGCTAAGTCTGTGCTGTAGGTTTGGCTGACTGTTCTTAGTCCTCAGGCTGAAGCAGGTCCAAAGTCCTTAGGCTGTGACCTCAATGACAACTTGTCTGTTCTGAAATTGTCCTCTAGTACTTTGTACCCCACGGCCCCTTCCAAGTCAACTTGTGACATGCGTCCGTTTGGCCTTTGACTTGCAGCCAAACTTACTTAACCTCACACAGCTGATACAAGAATGCTAGTCCCAGGAAAACGTGGTGGGAAACTGAGACTCTGTAAGGAGATGAGGTTCCTAAGGCCTGTCTGTTTCTAGAGTTGAGAGGACACCAGCTCCACCTGCCTCCTTATCCACCTAGGTCTGCAGGTGAGTTTGGCAGGGATGTAGTGTCCTGGCTGGGTTCCTGGGGGGCAGCTTGTGCTAGAGTGTTAGGGGTGTGAAAATTGAAGATGAGCAAGGGGTTGAGTAGTTCAAGAGCAGCCATAGTAGTGGAGTTTACGGGTGGATATGTACTAAAATAAACAAGGCATTTCTAGATGGTGACAGCAGGATCTGCCTCACCTAGAGGCAGGGAGGGCTTCTTAAAGGGAGGGGCCTTGAACTTGCTGGAAAATAGTAGGGATGGTTCTAAGATGGTTGTTGGAGTTCAAGAAGAGGAGAAAAAAACCGCAGATCCCATCAGGAATAAAGTTACGGAGTGTGGTGGAGGTGAGGGTAGGGAGCCTTGAGAAGGCACTGGCACTAGTGAGCAGTATACAGGCTGAGGAGTAGGCTCTGTGAGCCAGCTCTGCAGCATCCAGTGTCTGTAGTAGCTCTGCTGTGTGTCCACCTCTAGGCTACACTCTCTGGACCCAATGGGACATAAGGCTGGGCCATAGTTGGGGATGGGAGTCTTCTGGTCCCCGTTAGTCAGCATGCCAGGCTACTAGACCCTCATATGGGTCCATCCTACATCTTTAGAACTGCATCTATCCTGGGAGACGTCCATAAGCAATTGGTACCTGGACAACACGATGCCACAGAGAATGACAGTCCTGACTTGTCTGTCAGTGACTGGAAGTACCTGACTTGCTACCTAGGCTGAGCCCCAACAGGCAGAGCCTATCCCCAGTAGGGGAAGTGGGGATCTTTATTACTCCCCACCCAATCCCACTCAGAAAATGACCCCTTTTCCAGTGGGGGTGGAGGGATTCCCTGTCTTTGACCACCTGACCACCTGCTCCTGCCAGTCCCGGCCATGTCAGAACCATCACCCAGCCGGGCAGTGGTGGCGCACGCCTTTAAACTCAGCACTCGGGAGGCAGAGGCAGGCGGATCTCTGTGAGTTCTAGGCCAGCCTGGTCTACAAGAGCTAGTGCCAGGACAGGCTCCAAAGCTACGGAGAAACCCTGTCTCGAAAAACTGAAAAAA